ATTGGAGGATTTTAAAAAATGACCTAAGCTTTAAATCAAGTAAACATACAGAAAGTATAATAGACCAAACCCCAAGTAATAAGAATAAAGAAATAACAAAAATAGAATAGATAAGACTGAAATAGAAAAACAAAAGAGAGGAATATCAAAAGCAAGATCTCATACTTCTCATTTTTTTTTTTTTTAGGTTTTTGCTACAGGGCGCGTGCGCTCGCCACACAGACAGAGAGACAGAAAGTGAGTAATCACCCCTTGGGGGGATGACCATGCCACAATCCCTTCTCCTCCATTCTCCTCTCAGGATCTTGGGCATGCACGCACACGCGCCGGGCGTGAGTTTAAGCCACCGGGTCTGGGACACGAACTACAGTTGACTACATGGGAGTCCAGCGACATAGCCATTACACTAACTGCTGGTCCCAAGACCTCATACTTTAAAAAAGGTTCACAAGTTAGACTGGCTTCTGCAAGAATAATGAAGAATAATCACAAAAGTTAATCAATCAAAAAATCAATAATCAAGGAAAAAGAGTAAATGCCAGTATGCAAAGTACAGGATGGAAAAGAGAAATAAAGTACATTTGATGGGACCAACAACTAGCGTGATGCCTATGTCACTGAACTCCCATGTTGTCGACCGTGGTGCGAGTCCCGGACTGGTGGCTTAAACTCATGCCCGGCGCGTGTGCATATGTGCACAAGATCCCGAGAGGAGAATGGAAGAGAAGGGATTGCTGCATGGCCATCCCCCCTGGGGGGTGATTTTTCACTTCCTGTATCTCTGTCACTGTCTTTCTGGTGAGTGCACGTGCCCTATAGCAAAAACCTCTCAAAACAAAACAAAACAAAACAAAACAAAAAGTACATTTGCACACTTTCAAAAAGTGGACACCTGAGAAAAATATAAATCATCTATACTTTTGCAGGAAGCCGCAGAGAACTTGGTTACATAAATAAGTACTACACAATTAAAACTTCAGTCAAACTACCTATTTTCATAATTCTTCCACAGGTCCAGACTGAGATTGTTTTACAGATGAGTTCTTTCAAAATGAAGGAAATTCTTTACTTTTGTCTTATAAAATTGTCCTGGAAAATGGAAAAAAGACCCTATATCATGGGCTCATACCAAGCCTGTTGTAATCTTGACTCTGAAACCAAACAAGAACAACATGAGAAAAGAGAAAGATAAATTTCTCAATTAATCCTAAATAAAATAACCAATTTAACATAAAACACTTTAAAAATAATATCTCACTGGGCTGGATGGTGGTGCAGTGCTAGAATGTGATACTTTGTGAAGTAATCCCAAATGGAAAGGTTCTTGGTTCAAGCCCCATGATCCAGGGTTTGCTCAGACTTGGGTGGTAGAAGGTAGAGTCAGGGACCTTGTTGGAGTTGCTGTCTCTCTCTCTCTCCATCTCTGTCACTCATGGATAAAATAAAACATTTTTAAGTTTTTTGTTTTTGTTTAAACACACCATGATACAGTAGGGTATTATAGAAATTTATGAATAGCTTAACTGAAAATCGAACAGCATAGGTTTCTACATAAATACTACATTATTACCTCAGTTCATACAGAAAAAGCTGTTGATAAAGTTTAACACTTAATTATGATAAAAAAAATTTTTTTGTTGAACTAAGACTGTAAGAGGTTAAATATAGGATAACCATATAGTTTATCTTCCTAATTTTGACAATGTAGTTGGATTAATACTACATTAGATAAAAAAAAAAAAATCACCTGTGGGGTGGTGGTTAACGTGGCTGGATCCCACTTAGCCAACTGTGCAGTTTGAATCTTGGAACTTGTGGCTTAAAAAACATGCCAGGCTCATGTGCATAAATGCCTAAGATCCAGAGAAAAGAAAAAGAAGAGATTGCAGTGTGACTATTCCCTACAAAGAGCACTTTCTCACTTTCCTTTTCCCCCTCTGTCTCTCTTCTGCAAGCACACATACCCCCTAGCAAAGTAAAGAAAAAAATAGTATTGTTCTGAATAAACTGACATGTATGGTGATTCTAAAGATACACACATACACACACGTTAATACAGAAAAGAAAAAAAGAACAGATCTACAATAAACATTGTATCTAATAGGTAAATTTTAGATATACTGCAGTTTATGTTTGTGAATAAAAAAAGAAGCAATGCAAGAAGTTTAGAAAAATAATTAAGGGGTCATCTCGTGGTTTGGTGGATAACGTGGCTGGATCCCACGTGGCTGTTGGTGTGGTTTGAGTCCAGGAGCCTGTGGCTTGAAAAATGCCAAGTGCATATGTGTGCATATCCAAAATCCCCAAAGCAGGGAGAAATGGAAGAGAAGGAATTGCAGCATGACCATGCTCCATGGGAAGTGCATTCTAATGTCCCCTCTCTCTCTGTCTCTCTTCATTGAGCACATGTACCCTCTGTCAAAATTTAAATAAACAAAGAGAAAAAAAAGACAAAAGAAAAAGAAATAAAGCTTATGTAACTCTTAAGGGAAAATATATTACTTTCATTATTTGTAATTCATATGATATACCTAGAAAAAAACCAGAACATATAAACAAAGTATTACAACACATAATAGATTTATATAGTTCTAAGTCTACCCTGTAAAAATTTATAGTAGTTCATGTTTTACATCAGCAATAGCCCAGTAGACAATTAAAATATGATGCCATCCATGATATTAGCACATCTCATAAAATATCTAGAAATATCTTAAGTATACATAAAAATCTGTATGGAGAACATTGTAAAACTCAAAGTAAGGACACAGAAGATGAACCATTGGTTCCTGGTTATGTTGACATTTCCGACAACCCAGTAAAATCATGGAAATGCCAGTACTCTAAGTACAGGATAGAAGGGGGTCATCTGAGATGGCTGAGTGTCCACAGATGGCTCCTACTCTAACAGAGGCAGGAAATCAGCATGTGTGACAATGAAGCAAGGCTGGGGAGTGACACAAGGAAGAGTCCATGAGATAAGAAACGCAGATGACCTAAAAGCTGAAAAAAGCTAGGTAATGGATTTTTCCCTAGAAGGCCTTAGGAGGAAGGAAGCCCCGGCTGACACTTGGGTTTTCAACTTCTGATCTCAATAACTATAAGTGAATACATTTGTGTTTAAAGCTACTGTTTGTTGTAATTTGTCACAGCAATGATAGGAAACAAACACATTCTGACTTCCCATTGTATGACCCTTTGAATCTGTGATAAATTGCATTTTCTAAAGATGCGCAGAAGTCTCTCCCACCCCACTTTCTCTTCTGCGATGTCATTTTGCCATCCCCTCATTGAGGGGTAGTCTGTGTCTGTCTCTATTCCAACCCCCTTGAATCGTGGTGGACTCTAGGACTGCTCTGATCAAAAGAATAGGAAACGGGAATGGGGCCGGTCACTGCTGTGGTGGTAAAACATGATGTTTTGCTAGGCTGACCCATGTGGATGATTCTGGATTTGTGTCTAGAGACATCCCTGAGTGTACTGGACACATGTATGCCCAAGATCCAGGGTTGCCTGAGGCTTTGGGACCCTGCTGGGGGCACTTTATCTCTGTTTCTCTTTCTGTATCTCTGTCTTTCTTGCACGTGAAAAAATAATGAAATAACCTTAAAAACATTACAAAGTATATTGTGAAAGTGATACATTGTCCCTTAACCTTGCTGGGAGCTTCTGCTTTCTCCCTTTGGGAAGCTAGCTGCCATGAAAGAAGTGCTACTTTAAACGAATGGAATAGGTTACAGAACAGCAACCGGCTATACTAAAGAACACTGGTGACTAATAGGTACTTTCAAAAACTCCAGTAGAGCAAATTTCAAATATGCACAACATAATATAACAATAAAAGTTGGAAATGATGAATATGCTTATAGCTTTTATTTGTATATTACACATTGTATACATGCTTCGAAAAACTGAATTGTATCTCACACAAAGATGTACAACGATTATATGTAAATCAGAAATTAGAATAAAAATTACAACAACAACACAAAGACCAGCATGCTAATAGAAACTCAACTGCATGGAGAGGCCCTGAAACATGGTTTGCCATATAGGGAAAAAGATGCCAAGAGCTGCCAAGACATATGAATGAAAAGCCACCTTGAAAGTGGGTCCCTTAGCCCCTGCAATCCCAGCTGATTCTACTTGTGCAGCCCAGCCAAACCCTTCCCCACATAAGTAGCAAAATAGAATAATTGTTTAAGCTACTGATTTGAGGGATTGTTGGTTAAGAGACAAAGGATAACCAAACATCACCTTTTTTTAAAAAAATAAGTTGTTGACTGTGAACACTGAAGTGATCCTTATACTGTCTTCAGTGGCTAAGAAATACGTTTTAGGCACCAAATGATCTTTAATTACCTCAAAGTCTCTACATATTTTAACTCTAGTATTTCAGCTGTTATTTCTCAGCTTGCTAGAAATATCTGACAAATTGATATATTTAATTTCACACTGAGTAATGGTGAGAAATAAAAGGAATGAAATAAACCTGATTTGTAATATTGAGGCATTATACAAATGTTATTGTGTTAGTCTTTATGCAACATCAGAAGAATCGGAAGTTGCCTATAGCAACCAGAATCACTAACTCATTCTATTGGCTTAATTTTGCACACTTCGTGTATCAAGCTCTGGTTTACAGGGTTGAGGATAACATTACATTTCTGTTATAGAATTAAAAATGAAGATTTATGTGATAATAATTTTCCCTGCTAACTCAAGTTTCTTTTCACAGTCCTGAAAGTAAGATTCTTCAAAGAGAAAAAAGTAGCATGAATTTATTTTTATAATTCTGTATTTAACACACATTTTCAGATGATCTTTGATTTTTTAAGTTTTCTAAAAGCATTATGAAAATACTTAGGGTTGACATTTTGAATCTGAATCTTGTAAATCCACAGAACATACACATCCTATTTTTTTTCAGGTAATTTCTACCATTAATTCAGATCAAGTAAGTGTGTTTCCTCTAAAATTACTTTTGTTCTTATTTGCAGGTTGTCTTGGCTCTTTCCGAGCTGGATTATTCACTCCTGCACGTCAGTCAACCAATGCGTACCCTGACCTGAGGAGCTGTGTCAATGGTAGGCACCTCTATCACGGTTTTGGGAAGTAAACAACCAGAATGAACACTGCGATGGAGCAGACCCAGGTTAATGTAAACTGGGAGTACACCCATGTTCATGTAAACTAAGGTTTAAAAATCAACCAAGGAGCCATCCAAGGTTTTAATGACCAGCAAGGGCGTATTTGCAAACTGCCTTTGAAAAAAATGTGTTTTGTTTATAAATGCTGCTGTTTTACTCAAAATGAAGTTTTCACTTAAAATTTTAGCTGAACCTTGCTTCTTTCTCAGTAAGCTTTAGGTCATTGACTTCAGTTTTTACTCCCAGCAGCTCTATTTTTGCTCTTGTTGCATAATCATATAATCTGAGCAATCAAATTAACGTTCTTACTTTGAAGTTTACATAGGGCCTTGTTATTAGATTATTATTCTCCCAGCTGAGAGTTAATGAGGAACAGGGTAAAACTGCAAGATATAATTTGGGATGTTTGTTCAGTGAATATTTTACTTGCAGTGTTGGCATTATATATAGCTAATCATTTATCTGTATTTTCTTTCACATAAAGTGGTCGCAATTTCACAGAACACTGTACTTGAATGTATATATTAAATTTATATTTTATTCTTTTTAAAAATTTACCAAGTGACAGAAAAATAAGTTTGATTAACAATCTCCTATTAGCTTGTTTTCTAACATTTTAATCAGTTACCTGATTTATTACCACTTTTCACAATCCTTGATGATTGTATGAGAACCTTTTTGAAGAATTCTGGACTCAATTAGATTTTGGCTAGGTAATATATTTATTTAGAAAACATTAGAAATTTCCCCTAGTGAACTTAAACAAAGGGAATGTGTTAGAAGAATGGGAAGAACTTGCACAGTTGACTAGGAGGGGTCAAGAAACAGATAGAGGCCAGCTGACGTGCGGCAGTTAAGACAACAGAATTGCATGTGGCCGACTGTTTTGAGTCCTGGACCTGGGGGCTTGAGAAACATGCCTGGAACATGTGTTCAAAGTCCAGAAAGGAAGTAAATATGGAGATTAAGACATTGTACGTGACCATGCTCCACCGGGAGGAGGGAAGGGGTGCTTTTTTCGCTTTCCCTTTCTCTTTTTCTCTCTAGCCAGCACATGTGTCCTCTAGCAAATTTTAAAAAAGAAAATAAAAGAAACAGGTGTGAAATGCAGGAATCAAGGACCATTGCAATGCGTAGTGAGGGAAGAGAGACAATAGCTAAATATATATATATAAGCACATCATTTAAAATAGCCATCACATTGTCAACCGTGGTTTGAGTCCTGGACCTAGAGGCTTGACAAACATGCCGGGGAGGCTTGAAAATCATGCCGGGTACATGTGTGTGTGTGTGTGTGTGTGTGTGTGTGTGTGTGTGTGTGTGTGTGTTTCAGTGCTCTGACATTTTATGAAGAAAAAAAACAAGGCACTAGAACTGAGGTTTATAATTTTTTTTTTAAAGAGAGAGATTTTTGCTATAGGACACATGTGTTCACTGGAGTGCTTGCCAGAAAACATATGTAAATTACAGTTATAAAAGTGTGTATATATTTGCAATATAATAATTAATTGTTTACAAAATACTAAACTTTTCTCTAATGGACTGTTTTATAAAAAGGCATTATTTGAAGGAAAGAATTGTGATTTTTTTTTTTTCCAGATTGCTTATAGGTATCATGGGTAAGATTTCTATTGAAGGACACATTCGTTTTATTTTGGCGCGGCAAAAAAAAATGAAATAGATGTCTGTTTTTTTCAGCCATTCCAGACCAGTGTATCCCTCTGCCATGCAATGAGAATGGATACCTGACCTGCAAAGACGGCCAGGCTACCTTCACTTGCATTTGTAAATCAGGTTGGCATGGAGAGAGGTGTGAATTTGGTATGTACAATTAATCCACTGGCTCATCTGGTTCAACCTACTAAAAGTCTCTGATGGATGTGTTTTTACTTCAGAAATAAATTATATGTCTCTTTTTAGATATAAATGAATGCAAAGATCCCTTAAATATAAATGGAGGTTGCAGCCAGATTTGTGATAATACACTTGGAAGTTACCACTGTTCCTGTAAAAGTGGTTTTCTTATGCTTTCAAATAAAAAAGACTGTAAAGGTAAGAGTGATAAGGCTGAAAAGGTATTTACTCTAAGAGAACAAAATTCAGCTACGGGAATTTCCCCAGGAAATTTTTGCAACTCTGTGGTTGGAACTGCTTATAGTAAACCTGTACTTTTTACTACTTTGAAGCCTTGTGATACTATAGGTCTGCCTTTTAGTTTGTAACAATGATTGGAAGGGTATTTGTTATTTCCTTATTGTGTGTGTGCACATGTGTGTGCATGTTTCAATAAAGAATTTCATTACAAATAAAAACAGAAAAAGGATTTCACTATTAAGTGAGATTTCAGTGCAGATCTTTGCATACTGCAGACTTTGCAAAATCATTGTTTATCCTGTGTTTTTAGATGTTATAAGATTATTTCCTTTATTCCAATAAGATTAAACAGCTATAGGATCAGCTCTGGCAGCACATACTGGTGGACACTGCTTCTCGATAGGCTGAGATGACATGGGAGGCCCGGATTCAATTTTCTGTCCATCTAAAAGGCCAGGTGCAATGGCACACGCCCACAGTGCCAGCTGCTTGGGAGATCGAGGCAGGAGGATTATGACATAACAAGACTTTGTCTTGAAAACAAACAAACAAAACAGGTGGGGGGGGCAGATGGTGTGGTGGTTGAGGCACTGGACTCCCACGTGGACGACTACAGTTCAAGTCCTGGAGAATCACACTGGGCATGTATGCATTCATGCCCTCCAGGAGGCTGGAGAAGGAGGGATTGCAATGTGGCCATCCTCCTAGGGGGTGATTTCTCACTTTCCCTCTCTCTCCTCTGTCTGGGGAGCACACATGCCCTATGGAAAAATCTAAAAAAAGAAAAACAAACAAACAAAAAAACAACAAAAACTACCATATAAATAGTTATACAAAGAAACCCACCACAGTCTTTAATAATCTCTTTCATTGCTTTATTTAATCTTTCTTTTTCAGATCTCCAATATAAACTCTTCATCTTGTACCTTATTTCCTGTTGTAGTTTTGGGAAAGATGAAGACGACCTGATTTTCTTTATATTAAGATCACATCATTGGTCACACTTTTTTTTAGACTTAAAGAAACCATTTCTGTTCACCTTTATATTTTTAATTTGCGACAGGATGCGTGTGCTTGCAGAAAGAGACCGAGAGAGATAGGGAGAGAGAAAGAGAGAGAGAGAGAGAACGAGAAAGCATCCCCCTGGGGAATGGTCACACTACACTCTCTTCTCCATCTCTCGCTCCTTCTGGGATCCTGGGCGTGCACACACACACACACACACACACACACACACACACACGGCATGTTTTTCAAGCCTGTGGGTTCGATACTCCATGGGTACAAAGAGCTGTGGGAGATTCAGCCGCCTCAACCACCATGCCTCAGGCTGACCCTAGTTTAGCTTGTCAACAAATCATTTTCCTACTGTATCTCTTTTGTTTTTATTTCCCCCTGTCTTCTACACTTCTACATTTTGAACTTTTTCTCTTTAAATATCGTCCTTTTCGTTTGACTGGTTTAGCTGCTTTAGTTAAATCTTCAAATATTCGTGCTAAATGTATAGATAAATAAGACAAAACATTCCAGCCTAGAGTTGAATTTTGCCCTTAAAAACTAGAAACAGTTTTAATGTGGGAGTTTTTCTTTCCTCCTCCTCCTTTTCCTCCTTCTCCTTTGTTTTGTCAAGAGGTTAAAAAAAATCAGTAAGTTAAAACATAAAGTTTTCTTGTTCAGCTCTGTATGTTTTAATAAATCCTCAAATTAGACTCATTCAAGAAATAGTCTGTCCCTTACTACATTATAGTTTTTTTGTGTGCTATACTTTGCTGTCATATTACATAAAGTGTAATTAAGTGATTCTAAATTGAACTATATTAACTAACAATTTCTTCACAACCGTTATCCAATTTGTGACAATATATTGTTCAAGTCTGTTTATCTGAAGGTCTTTTTGAGTTTAGATATTTAGACTATGTTATCATTAGAACACCAGTTAAAGAAAATCACCGTAATTCTGGATACCATATGCATTCTATAAACAAATAGGACCTATTCTACATTTACATATCCGAATACTCTGTCCTTCTAAAAAAATTATGAATATTTAAATTTGAAAGTGTATTTTATTTCATATCTTAGGTTTTTGTCATAAGGTGTGTGTGCTCACCAGAGAGAAGCAGAAAGAGGCAAAGGGAGAAATCACCCCCCAGGAGTATGGCCATGCCTCAATCCCTTATCCTCCATTCTGCTTTCAGGATTTCAGGCATGCCCACACCTGTACCAGACATGATTTTCAAGCTGCCAGGTCCAGAAGTTGAAATGTGGAGCATGTGGTAGTCGAGAGACTTCTTAACCACCCCATGCCACCTATTTACCCTAAATAAAAAAGTATTTAATTCTTATCTGTTGAGTTAACACACACACATACACAAAATGTTCTTTCATAAATAAGAATGTCAGACCAGCTTATGGCCTCGTGGTTGAGGCAACTGGATCCCATATAGCTAAGAGAGTGGTTCAAGTCTTGGACCTGGTGGCTTGAGAAATGCCCGAAATTCAGAAAGGAGAGAGAAATGGAGGAGAGGAATTATTTCGTGGTGTTGTGACCATTCCTCCTCATTTGGGAGGAGTGTGCGTGTGCTTTCTCCTCCTCCTCTCTCTGTTTCTTTTTCTTTCTCTGGCAAGTGCATATACTTTCTAGCAAAGAAAAAAAAAAGTTCCCCGATTACTAGAACATATGTTTTTTTAAATATTTTTCATTTATATAGTACTTTATACATGATTCTTAAGTGATATAGACCTGTTAGAAGAATATTGTATAAAACTATTACAATTGGGACTTTTGCCAAGACCTGTATATGTTTGGTTGGGATCAAGTTGCTAATAACTGTCTAAAAATGAACACAATAAAACTTTTCATCAGACATTAGATGTCAGTGTAGAGTCAGAAAATAATCTAAACTCATGTTATAGAAATAATTCCCTGCAGTATGCTTCAAACTAATTAATTTTAGTCAGGTATTTTTACTTTCCTTTGAAAATAAATAGTTCTTTATTAAAAATTAAATATTCTATTTTTAATTAATTAAAGGTTCAATGAATTTGAAAGAAATCATGCAGAGATTCCTTAGACCCTTTACCCAGTTTCCCTCTTTCTGTATACTGTAGTATAATTTCATATCACAGTGTCACACTGAGGAGACTGACGTTGTCATAGTTATGATATAGAACAATTCTCTTACCACAGGGATTAATTCCATTATTTTTATGCATTACTCTATTTCAAATAGAGCAATGTCTAAAATACTAGTCTCTGGGAAGAAAACTGTTTTCTAGAGTAGGAAGTATATTTCCACAGAGCTAGCTGTGGTAATTTAATGCTCTGAGATACTGGACCCACACAGGAAGCTCCTGGGTTCATTTCTCTGTATACGTCAGTCATTTGTGTGTGTGCCTGTGATCTGAATTGGCTGAGGCCGGGAATGGATCATGGCCTGGGAGCCCTGTTGCAGGTTCCTGTCAGTCGGTCTGTCTCTCCTTTCCTCTCTTCTCTCTTTCATGAAAGAAATAAACTTAAAATATATACACTTTCAGTTTGATTTTTTTGAGGAAAGTACAGATGAGAAAAAAATCACTAATAAGTACACCTTCCTTGAGCTACTTCTGTTACTTTTCTTGTTTTTCTCACATATGCTTATCTAGTTGCAACCTGTATTTTGTCTCTTGTTTTACTACACAATAAAATAAACACATTTGAAACTTCTCTAATATTAATCTAACACTAAAGTTTATATTAGATTAACTGTGGCTTTGAGACCTTACTCAATCCCATTTTAAATTAGAGTCACTATTGAATACTTGAGGCAATAATAATAGTATACACAACAGACATTGTCCATTTCCAAAGGAACAAGGTAAAATAAGCAAACCAGTTTTAAAAAATATGTGACAGTATAGAGTGAATCAACCTTTTTTATTCCTTTCTTTATCCATTGACAAGAGTGTGTGTGCTCACCAGAGAGAGAGAGAGAGAGAGAGAGAGAGAGAGAGAGAATGAGACAGCACTTCCAAAATGGGCATGATCATGTCAAAATCCTGCCTACTTCACTTCTTCATCCCATCAGGATCCTGGTACACCCTTCAAGCTGCCAGTCAGACTGAACTGTGACTGAACTCCTGAGATTCAGCTTCCAATGCACAGCACTTAACATTGTGCCACAGATTTCAAAGAAGAGTGAATTTACTTTTAAGACCATATTTCAGAAACATATATTTAGGATACATTTGAACACTATTTTAAAAATATAGTTGAACTTCTAATTATCTTCATACTGTAACCTGGTAGATATGAAAATAGCTGAAGCCATCCCCTGCTTATTTTTATAGCTACAAAGGAATATGGCAAACATCAGTCAAATTCCCTATACATTCTGGACCAACCCCAAAGCTCAGTGGTTAAGAACCATGCATAGAAAATCAGGTCCCACGTGACTGACTATGGTTCAAATCTTGGCTCTGGCAGCTCGAAAAGCATGCCAGGTGTACTTGAATGTGTGACCAAAATCCTTATAGGATGGAGAAATGAAGAAAAAGGACTGTGGCATGATTATGCCCCATTGGGGAGTGCTTTTTCTCTCTCACCCTCTCTTTCTCATGAGGGCACATGACCTCTGGTATAAAAAATACTCCCTATGCATTTGCATAAAGAATATATTTGGTGAACTAAAATATGATCATAAATTTAATATTTTATTATTCATGAGAACTTTGTTTTTTTCATTATATGTGTTAAGTTATATACAGAAAACACAAATGATGTGTTCTTTGCTAGCATCTTCTGGTGTGGAAAATGTGTTTTTAATATAGCGGTTTTATTTACAGACATAGATGAATGCTCTATTAAGCCAAGCATTTGTGGCACAGCTGTGTGCAAGAACATCCCAGGAGACTTTGAATGTGAATGTCCTGAAGGCTACCGATTTAACCTCAAGTCGAAGTCTTGTGAAGGTACAGTGGTAGTGTTAATCACTGCTGACGGTGGGGAGGGCAGGTTTGAATCCAGAACTGCTATTTTAAAACATTGGTTTTGTTTGGCACCAACAATCAGATTTTCTATTCTATGATATTAACTTGATCACTTGTATAATCATTGGCTTCCTTCCAGAGTAAAATATGTAAGACACATGGTCTTCAGGTTTAGTGTTATGTACTCCCTTTGGCTTTCTCAGCTACATAGGAACTAGAGACCTATAGGTGTGATAAAAGCAAGATAAATATATTTTCACACCCCTTAAATAATAGTCAAAGATATAGAGAATTTCAAACTGGAAGGAAAAACACGTACATACCAAAGAAATATGCAGCTCAAAAATTGCATGACACAGTGAGCCTGGTTACAGTGAAAACATTAGGTTTTATTCTTAGTTTTTCATTGATTATCTGTGTCTATCTAAGCCAATCATCTATTCTGAAATAGAAAATAACTTAGGTCTCTTGTCTTGTCATAACCAAATAATAACTGAGCTCTAGAAATCTGAGACATATTGATCAGTAATCCAGAACCTGTAAATCTGGGGTAGCCCCTGGTAGGTGCCATGACTTCATTTGACTGTAGTGTAACTGATGTATGTAACTCAGGTAACCAAAGCTTGTTAGCTTTTTTTTTTTTTTTTAAATCATGATATATATAAATTCTTTTATCCCTCCTTTAAATTCTTTAAAACCTCACAGTGAATTTAATACCATGACTAAAACTAATCAAATCAGTAATAATTTTCTGTTGTGCCAATATACAACATACAGCCACTATTCCATGGCATTAATTACATTGGCACTGTGGTGCAGCTGTCACCACTGTCTACTTCCAAAACTTTTTCATCACTCCAGACAGAAACTCTTGTAACCATTAAGCAGTAAGTTTCTTCTTAATCGTTAGCTTATTAGAGGTAAACTCCGGTAAGCACTAATGTGCTTTTCTCTGTGACTTTGTAAAGATCAATAAAGTTTTTAGAACAGTTTTTTTTTTTTTCCAACTGTGAGTGCTCCTTTTGAGGTTTTGATGTCTTACCTCCTCATGCATTCACCAAAATAATTTCTCTTCTATACACTCTATCTATTCTCCCATTAGTCCTACTGGGAGTTTCTTCGATAAATCATAAGTATTTGCAGATTTATAATGAACCAACCTCATTGTGTCTATTGTTTTATTCACTGAATGATAGCTTTTTTTTTTTTCATTGCTTCTATTGTAGTTTTATTCACTGAATGATAGCTTTTTTTTTTAAATTTTACATATGACCACACAACTGTATATCACTTTAATAACAGTTCATGTGATTCTAATGCTGTTGAGGACTCACGAATTTGGGGAGATTTATTTTAAAGCATTTACTACTAACTTGCATGTGATAATAGCATTGATGAATCTGGGGGGGATTTTAAGATCACAATGTGCAAACAACGCCAAGTGTCAAGGCTCTTACCTGGACTTTAGCTCAAAAACATCATTACAGTTTTTCAGGAATGATTTTCACAAAAGAATGTTATCAAGGATCACATGGAAAATGTCACAATTTAGAAGGCTAAGTTTTTTTAATTTAAAATAAGATAAACACACATGTCCTTAAATTTATTGCTGTCATTAATTTTAGCACTATGGAAAGTCAACTATTCTTAATATTGGTATTTAACCCCAAATGCATTAATTTTAATTAAAAGGGGTCATATCTTCCCTTCCCTTGCCTTTCCTTTTCTTCCCTATCTTCTTCCCCTCTCCTCTTCTTTCCATTTCTTCTCTTTCCTTTCTTTTTTGCCTTCTTTTGTAAACAGCAAAAAACTGGGCAGTCATCCCAATGGAATTCATATAAACAGTTGAGGTGCTCAATGTTGTTTTTTTCTTTAAATTCAAAATCAGAATATTAGTATAATCATTATACTTTTATTAATTATTAACAAATGGATAAAAACAATAAATTGATAAACATCAATAATAAAGTATAAGAACTGATCATTATTAATTAGTCTATAGTGTGTAAATAAAGAAAAGTTACATTTGTAACTCATTTACATTTCTATGTCAAACATTTAACGGTGTTTGATGTCTTAGGAATTTCTTTCTCTAAGAATCTGTTGTCATCGATTATTTCCTACTAAAATTAAAATATTCCTCCGCCTATTGGATGGAACATTTAAAGGATATTACAATTTCTTGTCTTACCCCAGATATAGACGAATGCTTCGAGAACATGTGTGGCCAGCTTTGTATAAATTACCCTGGAGGTTACGATTGTTTTTGTGATGGAAAGAAAGGATTCAAACTTGCCCAGGATAAGAAGAGTTGTGAGGTAAACATTTTTCAATGCTAAACTTCTCTTTTCTAAATGAGAGCTCTAGGTACGTTTTTTTCAGGTGTTCTGCCATAGTTGCTGTCATTTTAAACTGACCATGAGTCATGATCTATTTACTAATTATGGCCATGTAAATCATAAACATTGGGGTTAATTAGTGGCTGGACACAAAAGGCTTCAGGGTCAGTTAGGGACGGTCCATGTGTAGTCTGTATGTTTACAGAATGCGAAGTGGAGGCTTACTTAAGAAACTAAGAAAATCCGAGGTTCACTCTCTTTTTTGTGTGTGAAACGACCTTCCAGAGCAACTTCTGTGTAAACATTTTTCAGTTTCTACCTTTCTCTGTCCCAGTCCAACAAGTCTGATCCGCCTTAAGCAAGTTAGTACATGTAAGAGTAAACTTTTAGTAAACTCATAAACTTTTAGGAGGGAATGGCATTGTCAGAATATGATTTAGTGAGGTTTAATTAAACCAGAATTTAGAGAGGTAGATTCTGTTCATCTCAGTCCTCTCAGAATTGCTTTTAACTACTCAATTTAATGCATAATTATCCAGAAATTGAATGTCTGGGGTATGTTCTAGTTTTTCTTTCTTTGAAATGAGTCAACATTCGGAGTCTCTTTTTTCTTTTTAAAAAATAAGTATCACATGTTAGATTATCCTTCCAATTCTTGCCTTCCTTCCTCCCTTCCTTCCTTTCTTCTTCCTTTGTTTGTTTGTTTCTTTCTTTCTCTTTCTTAACAAATGAGGGGGAGTTGTATATGATTGTCAGGCAGACTGAAAAATAATGATTTAACTGTGTATCCACTTACCTCTATATCTGTTGCCAAGACAAGGCTGGTATATACAAAAAAATGTAATGTTCAGTATTATGCTACCTACTTGGTGAAGGAAGATAAAGAAAGCTAGCTGGCATATGTACTGACTTTGATTCTATGCAGTTAAAGTGCCATGCTGTGCCAGTATCTACTTTATAATTTAGTCTCTTAAATTTCACTATCCATAATAGTTACATGTCACCATCTGCCTTGAAATAGACTTGTAAAAGTTCCAAGAGGAAATAAATATTATTTCTGAGCCTATATTTAATAAAATGCTATATATACAATTCTCTTCAAAATATTTTTATTTTTTTTTAGAGGGATTTTTGTATAGGGCATGTGTGCTTGTGGGAGAGACCGAGAGAGAGAGAGAGAGAGAGAGAGAGACAGAGAGATAGGAAGTGAAAAATCACCCCCCAGGGAGGATGGCTACGTTGTAATCCCTTCTCCATTTTCCTCTCAGGATTTTGGGCACACATGTACACATGTTTGGTGTGAGTTCTGAGTCACCTGCCAGGTTCAGAACTAGAACCACCGTGGACTATGCAGGAGTCCAGTGACGTAACCGCTACACCATCTGCTGGTCCTTTCAAAATATATTTGGACGTGCATAGGAACTTATCTTTAAAAAGCTTTTTCTTTCAATGTTTGTTTTCACTCTTAGGGAAAAAAATCAGTTAGCGACATGGTGGTTAAGGCAGCTGGATCCTGCATGGCTAACTGATCTGTTCAAGTCCTGAACCTAGCAGCTTGGGGGACATGCTGGGCGAGTATGTGTGTGTTCATGCCCAGGATCCCAATAGGAAGGAGAAGTGGAGGGAAAGGGATTGCAGCGTGACTGTCCCCCATAGAAGGTGCTTTCTCTCACTCTCGCTCTCCAGTGAGCACAGGCATTCTCTGGCAAACAAACAGAAACCTTGATACTAGATGTAGTGACTCTAAGTCATTTTCTAGTAAATTCTTTGGAGACTAAGATAGGAACTAACATTTATTCCTTCCAAGTTTTCCAGTATTCCTTTATCTACCACTTTCTTACTCAGAAAAGTTTTGTTTAACAAATGTTTGAGTAAATGAATGAGATGCCATTTTGTAGTCCAAATAAAAATAACTCAGATATAATTCATGGAAAGCATCATACCTGACAGTTAATGAAAGGGAGCTATATGTTGGTCCTTGAAGAAAAAGGTTATGTTTAAGAATGTTTTAGCAGAGGAGATTTTATATATATATATCTAAAATAAGATATTATATATATATATGTATATATATACATATATATATATATATTGCCAGAGGGTGCCTGCTCTTGCTAAAGAGACAGAGAGAAAGCACCCCTAATGGGGCATAGTCACGGCACAATTCTTTTTCCTTCATTTCTCCATCTACGTACGTTTTGGGCCCCAACACACATGCGCTTTTCCTTTTTTTTTTGTAGAGGTTTTTTTTCCTATAGGGCGCATGCGCTCGCCAGAATGACAGAGAGAGACAGAGAGACAGAAAATGAGAAATCACCTCCCAGGGGGGGATTACCACGCCCCAATCCCTTCTCCTCTACTCTCCTCTCGAGATCTTGGGCAGACATGCACATGTGCCCGGCGTGAGTTTAAGCCTCTGAGTCCGGGACTTGAACCACCGTCTACTACATGGGAGTCAAGCGACACAGCTATTACGCTAACTGCTGGTCCCCACATATGCCTTTTCAAGCCAGTCTGTCAGGGATTTGAACCATAGTCATCCTTAGGGTATCAGCTTCCTCTGCATGGAACTTAACTATTGTACTACAGGGCTGGCCCTGCCAAGGAAATATTAACCAGAAAAATGTAAAGCCATACACATTGAACAAGACTTAAAAACATATGTATTCTTGGAGGTTTTGCTGATTGACTATTCAAGAAAGTCAAAGATATTATTACCAAAAGCATTCTTAAACTATTATAGAGTATTACAGAGGATAACATTAGGAACCAGAAAAAGACACACAGCTGGACAGGAATACCAAGCAAGCAATAACCTGTGCATTTTGTCTATTTTGTTCCTTTCTTTCCAGGCTGTTCCAGTGTGCCTTCCCTTGAACCTTGACAAAAATTATGAATTGCTTTACTTAGCAGAGCAGTTTGTGGGCGTCGTTTTATACTTAAAATTCCATTTGCCAGAAATCACCAGGTGAGGAATGTTTGTCAATGATCTTTTCTAGAGGTTAAATAGGTAACAACAGAAGAAAAGTGACTGAAAGGCTTGATTGGTATGAAATTGTATTAAGAACCAGATGATTTTAGGAAACCTAAGGTTATTTTATATTTCCTCATGTGTAATTTTTATTCTAGAACCTTTTTTTTTTTTTGGAGAGGTTTTTGTTGTAGGGCGTGTGTGCTCGCCAGAAAGATAGAGAGAGACAGAGAGACAGAAAGCGAGAAATCACCCCCTGGGGGGATGGCCATGTTGCGGTCCTTTCTCCTCCATTCTCCTCTTGGGATCTCTGGCATGCACGCACATGTACCCGGTGTGAGTTTAAGCCACTGGGTCCGGGACTCAAACCATGATTGACTACATGAAAGTCCAGCAATATAGCCACTAGGCCATCTGCGGGCCCCTATTCTAGAACCTTTTTGGGCTGATCTTCCCTAATGATTATTTTACTTTACTCTGTCATTCCTCCTTCTCTAGTGAATACCTATTTACTAAGAAACTTGGAAAATAGATTTAATGTACTTATAAATTTTCATTGTTCTTCATTTATCTTATGAATACTAGGGGAAAATATTCAAATTATTGCTTTTAGAAGATCATTTTATTCAAAACTTATAAGATTGCTTAAGTGGTATTTTAAAGAAATGTGTTACATGATTTTAGTTGACTATCCAAAACCTTTATCTATTACTCCTGTAGTTATATTGACTTTAGGGAGAAATAGTTTTTTATGTTTGGAGTCAATAATTCTACTTTACTTATCACATTTTCTCCATATGTTGTTGGAACTGGAGAGAAATTGTAATTTTGTTGGAAAAGTGGGGAAAAATGTAGTGGAGACGTATTACAGAGTCTAAATTTTTAAATTATTTATTTTATTTTATTTTATTTTTATTATTAATTTTGCTGTAGATCAAATGTGCTCACGAGAAAGAGAGAGACAGGGAGAGAGAGCAAGAGAGGGAGAAAGTGAGAAAGTAAGTCAGCAGGTCCAGGACTTGAACCATAGTCGGCCATGTGGGAGTCCATTGCCCCAACCACCATACCACTTGTTGGCCCTATAAAGTTCAAATTTAAAAATATTTTATATAAGTATACATGTCTAGAATTTAATTAGTTAGGTACATGTGATTACCCAATAAATAATAAACTAAATTCATAGAAATATCATTAAGGGACAATGAAAGTTATGCTAGGGGCTGGCAAGTAGTGTGGTGGTTAAAGTGCTGGACTCCCATATGGCAGACCATGGTTTAAGTCCCAGACCTGGCAGCCTGCTTTCTTCCTTTCCCTTTCTCTCTCTGGTCGAATTTAAAAACAATGACGGGACCAGCAGATGGTGTACTGGTTACGTCGCTGGACTCCAATGTAGTCGACCACAGTTTGAGTCCTGGACCCGGTGTCTTAAAACTCACATCAGGCGTGTGTGTGTGTGTGTGTGTGTGTGTGTGTGTATGTGTGTGTGTGTCCCAAATCCCAAGAGGAGAATGAAAGAGAAGGGATTGGGCGTGACTTGTTGCTTTATGTCTTTCTGTCTCTGTCTCCTTGATGAGTGTACATGCCCTATAGTAAAAATCTCTCTTAAAAAAATAAATAAATTCTTCTTAAAACATTTTTTTAAAAAGAAAGTTATGCTAAGATTCACTTATATAATTGTGCTCTTTATCATGCCATGTCCCCTAATACCTAATTTTCAAAGCAAATAATATCTTCTAGTGATGCAGATGAGAGACAGGTCTCCCTTGCTATGAGAAAAATGAGAATGATAGGAAAAATGTTGATTTTAGTAAACTTTCTGACACTTTCAGGGGTATTAATTTCTTACTGATATCTCAGAATATCTTGAACCCTAACATTGGATCAGAGTTGACCAAATAGTCATTTTTCCAGTATTTGCTTATTATTTACTTAGTTTAAATGTTTTATTGAAAAAATGTATGACTATAAATGTAAGCATATATTAAGTATACAGCTTGATGAATTTTTACAAACTGCCACCCATGTAACCAACATAAAGAACAGATACTGCTTTTTCTTTTTAAATCCCTTCACCTCTGTTTTCCATGATTAAACACTTCCTCTATGCAAATGTTAACAAATTCACTCTTTTCTGGTCTGCAATACTTCTGAAAACATATCAATTGTCCCCAATGAAATGAATTGATGCGCTAATGACATATTCCAGAAACAAGATATTCAAAAAAGACTCTCTGCAATATCATTTTAGCATGATTTCATAAAGAAGAGAAAATTATCTTCATAATAGGATCAACTTTTGGAAGATCCTGAGCATAAAAGGACTTGAGGTTTTTTTTTTTTTTTTTTTTTTTTGCTTTGTGGGGGGAATCTGTATGGGACTTTACTAAATGATAATTTTTTTGAGAGGTTTTTCGTTATAGGGCGCTTGCACTCGCCAGAGAGACAGACAGAGACATAGACACAGAAAGCGAGAAATCACCCCCCAGGGGGTATGGCTACGCCACAATCCCTTCTCCTCCATTCTCCTCTCGTGATCTTGGGCACGCACGCACACGTGCCCGGAGTGAGTTTTAAGCCACTGGGTCCGGGACGCGAACCACGGTCG